ATTCGGAACTGCACCCACCGTCACCACAGGACCCCAGGACACACTGAAGCCGGTTCACACCCAGTGATCCTCCTCAAACACCTCCTCACTCGCATGTATTCCATGACCAACCTCCAGGGTCCCCTCCAAACCCGGCCCAACTCACCCTGTCTCCTGATGGACCACGCGCCTGAATGACCACACCCAGTTCAGCCGCGACTCCACAAGCCGTGCCCAGGATGCCCACCCTCAGTGGACCCTGGGCCCCAGCTGGCTGACACTCCCAGACATGTGTGAGCACACCTGTCCCCTCTTTAGCCCTCTTCTGAGTTCTCCCTGTTGTCCCAAATCTGGCTCTGCCTTTTGGGTCTCCTCACGGCCTCCTGAAGGCCCTCCCTGACTCCTCAGCCTCTGCAGTTCTCCTACTTGGCGCTCCCCACACCCTGGAGCACAGTTGTCTTTATTCACATATTTAAGCACTGTGACTCCCGCTAGAGAGACAGCCCGACAAACCACAAAGGCACAATTATTCTTTCCTGCGTCCCACTCCCCAAACTTAGCACCTTATCTATTTTAGCAGCTCGGACTTTTCATAGACTGGGACAGAGCCCAGTCCTTACAGGACGGAGTGTGGTCTGGACAGTGGGTGGGGACAGCAGGTTTGGGCTCATGCTCAAAGCAGGCCGGTGTGGTGGGTGACGGCTTTGTTTTGTTTTGTTTTTCCTGGAGCCCAGTGGATCTGCAAGTTTCCAACAGAGACTTCCCTTGCACCTCACAGAGGTGCTCTGCAGCTCTGATGTCCCAACATGTCACCTGGGAGCATTCTAGGCCCCCACGGGGCAGGTTAGACTTCACTAAGATAGACCCTCTGTCTCCTATTTCCAGGGATGAATGGGGACCATGCAGCCCTGTTAAAAGAGATGACTCCAACAACGTCATCCATCATCATCTTACAAAGCTGGGAAAAGAAAAGTCTTAGTTTTTACTTATTTTTTAAGGATTCATGGTCTCCCTAACTTAACCTATCTAAATGAGTTTAACCGTTTTGCAAAATTATCATCCGCAAAGGCGATGTCAGGCTCGAATTCGTCCTTTTCTAAAGGTCAGGGGAAGTGTGGAACAGGGGAACCCACGCTGCAGTTTGGGGTGTGACCAGCTTGATGTGACGCCTGATGTTGGCGCCCTCTGTTGGTGATTCCTGGAATCGCTCTGTGGACGTGTCACTGGCTTCAGCGGAACATTCCTCATCTCTCCACAAGGTGGCGCCAGCCCTTCTCCCTCTGGCGTCAGACCCTCAGTGGGCTCAAGTCACCAGCAGATGCGCGGGGAATGTTGGTCCATGACAGTTCATTTTGTGTCCCAGGGTCGTTGCACACGATCCTCTACATTATCACCCCACATGCCAGGTGCTGAGTTCAATGTTTGGTGTTTGTTTATTTGTTTAAAGTTTTTTCAAGGGCAATATTGCTATGTTGCCCGGGATGGCCTCAAACCCTTGGGCTCAGTTCTGAGTACAACTTTTTATTTTTATTTTTTTTAAAGAAAGAGTGAGATAGAGGGAGAGAGAGAATTTTAATATTTGTTTTTTAGTATTTGGCGGACACAACATCTTTGTTTGTATGTGGTGCTAAGGATCAAACCCGGGCCGCACGCATGCCAGGCGAGCGCGCTACCGCTTGAGCCACATCCCCAGCCCTCAACTTTTTATTGATACTAGAGAGTGGCCCACCAAGAACTGGCTTGGCATTCCAAATGTGGAAGGGATTTCACATATTTTCAAATGTGAAAGACTACACATCTCATGTTTATTTGAATACAAAATGAATTGGATCATGATGTTAGGAAGGGCAGATTAAACCAGAGATGGTATCTCTTAAATTATTCAAAGCCCTAAACTATATATAAATTCAAGTTTATGGGCTGGAGATATAGCTCAGAGGAGGAGCATTTGCCTAGCATCTGCAAAGTTCCGTCCCCAGCACTGCAAAAAGGGAAGAAAAAAAAGTCAAGTTTTTATAACAAAGAAAATACTGTCTGTTTAGGACTGAATTGTGTCTCCCCTGCCCAGTTTGTTTGTTGAAGTCCTAACCCACAGTACCTCCAAATGTGACTGTGTCTGGAGAGAGGTCTTTGAAGAGGTAGATATTAAAATGAGCTCATATGGATGGTCCCTAGTGTCACAATATGATGTCACAATATTACTGGTGTCCTTATAAGAAGAGATTAGGATACAGACACAGAGAAAAGACCATGTGAGGACACAGGGAGAAAGCAGGTGTCTTCTGGTCCAGGAGAGAGGCCAAGAGAAATCAGCCCTGCCCACGCCTCCATCACCAGAACCGAGAAGATAAATGTGTGGTGTCTCTCAATCTGCAGTGCCTTGTTACAGGGCAGTGTGGCTGACTGATACACCGCCCCAGTTTGGTTTTCTGAATGTGTGTATTGAGGAAGAGTTTCTTCATTCTGGAGTCTTGTGGGCTGCTTCTTGTAAAGCAAAAAGCTGAGGGTGAGATACACAGGTGTTAGGGACTGTTACCACCTCTACTATGAAATGTTCCAGGAAGGGAACACATGGGACAAGACCCAAGGACTGTGCCAGCCAAGTTATGAATCAAAGCAACCAGTCTTTGCTAGGTACCTCCAATGGCTACACTGAGTGTAGAAGGGGGTATATCACTTACACTGTCTGCTCCTCACATTTCACTTAAAGAGTTCACAGATTTCAAAGGAAGGCGAAAGGGTTCTGTTTTTGTTTGTTGGAATGTCAGGAAACTCCCTGTCCTCATACTAGACACCTGTGTTGTGAGCTCTCCTCTGCTGGGATTATTCATTTTAAATGTTTTTTGTTGTTGTTTTTTGGCCAGGTGAAATGGTGCGCACCTGTAATCCTAGCAACTCAGGAAGCTGAGGCAGGAGGATCTCAAGTTTGAGGCCAACCTCAGCAACTCAGGAAGGTCCTAAGCAACTTAGCAAGACTCTGTCTCAAAATTAAAAAAAAAAAAATGACCAGGGATACGGCTCAGTGGTAAAGTGTTCCTGGGTTCCATCTCTGGTACCAGAATAAACAAACAAACAGGGTTTTCAGCTCCGGGTGCCCATTTGTAAAGTGGGTACTATCAGTCTCCTTGCCCAATTTAATGACAAAAGCCCTTCCTGAGAGACAGAGCAGGGGGCTGTGGAAAGCAAGCTATAGTTGCTCACGACTCTACCCAGCTGTATGACCTTGAGCAAGTCATTTGGTGTCTAGAGTGTTAAGGGACTTGACAGGGGAGCCCTTGAGTTGGGCTCCAAGAGTAGCTTTGACAACTCCCACGTCCTGGCCTCCCGAGTGAAGAGCCAATCTTTGGGAATCGTGCTGCCTTTTCAATTGTCAAGTGGCTCCAAGTTCACACACTTCATTGTCTGCTCTGAGACAATGGATCCAGCTCCTCTGGATATTTTCCCTTCCGGTGGACAGTGGCGAGACACTGCAAGAGGAAGGTTCTCGTGCGCCAGCTTGGTCCACTCTGGCACCGCACGTGGATGCCCCAGCACCAGGCCCTGCTGTGCCCAGCGCCTCCCCCTGCACCCCTCCTCAGTGGTTGCAGCCTATTTCCTGCAGGAAGGTGCTGTCCCTTGCACAATCAGCCACCTGACATCACCCTAGAGACAGACTCCCAGCAGGCCCCATGTGGGCCCAGCAGTGTTCTCAGGCAAGGGCTGAGCTCAGCCCTGGGGAGGGAGCTCCCTGCAGCTCTTGGCCTAGGTGACTTAGACTTCTCTTTACCCCTACAGCCAGGCCTTGCCTACTCTAACCCCTTAACAGCTACATCCCATGTCCCTGTTCAAATGAACCTGTGCTTTCCTCCCTCCAGAACCCTGACTGGGCCAGGTTGGGCCTGTGAGTAGTCCCAGGAGCTAGACCTGCCAGGTGTCTTGACAACTGGTGTGCTTGTGTCTTTTGTTTTGGGCACAGTACCAGCTCCTTGATGGCAGGAAGGGGGCGCCAGTACCCACAGACTTACCACTTCAAGTGGGGCTTTATTTCAGCTCTTGTGGGCTGTGGATCCAGGCAGTGACCGGCCCAAGAATGAACAGCAGTCCCTACAGTTTGCAGGAAGCTAGGCTTGTTTGGATCCCCAGACGTGCTGAGTGGCCTCAGAGTCATGACCTCTATAGGGCAGCTTGGGAGGGCATCACCTGGAGTAAGGGGCCCCAGATGCCCCAAGAAACCAAGGACCCAGGCTCACCCTCCTTCAGATCCAGGGCACTGGGCAAGGCTCCATGTCCAGAGCACCTTCTGTATGGAGGGGAGGGCTTAGAACCTAGGTTGGGTGCGCCCGTAAGAAAGGTACATCTGTCAAATCTACGGGCTCCTAATAGCGCTGCTCTCCTGGCTCCTCAGAAGAGGCCCTGGGGCTTCCTCCTGTCTGTGTGGATTCCTCTCAGAACCCCCTGGGCCAGCAGCAGCAGCAATCTGGGGTTGTAGCCCAGCAGTTTCGACAAGCCCCTCCAGGTGGTTCTGGTGTACAAGGAAGTGTGACAGTGAGTTACTGGACACAGGTTGGGATCCGGGTTCCCCCTGTCCCCCAGGCCGTCTGGATCTTTGAATTCACTTTACAGTGTCTTTCAAAATGCAAGTTCCTGGGCCATCTGCCTGGGATTCTGAGTAGGTGTGGCGGGGGCACTTCCTGGGGTCTCCATGCTGGGGGTCGCAGGCTGGGTGGGGGCGTTCTCCTCTGTGTGGACGTGTACAGGCACAGGTAAGCCGGCGTCACCTCTCTTTGGTCCCTTCCTTTCCTCCACTGCAGTGCTACTTCCTACCTTTGCTTTCTCTTTCCCCACTCAGTACTCCAAGGCCCAGCTCCAAGGTCACCCCCCAGCCTCCCTACTCCTCCCTCCCCTCCCCCACCCATCACCCCTGAATGTGCTCTCACTGCAAGTCCCCAGCACCCTACAGCCCAGCGGTGTGACCAGGGGTGCCTCCTTCAGCTCTGACGCCCCAGGGCCTGGCACTCCACGGGGACGTTCATTCTTGTTTGTAGGCCTTTCAATTCAATTTATTTTAGTCCAATTTGATTCAAGGCAATTCAGCTCAATTCACGTCAGCACACAGAAGACCCCAGGAGCCATTAGGGCACCAACACAGAGACGGGCGTCCAGGAGGAGGCCGGCTGGGAGGAAGCTCTGGTCCTGAGGCATGATGGCTCACGTCCGCGCAAAGCACTACCCAGCTGGGGCCCAGTGCCACCTCCACGGAGGCCCTGCTGGCGGGGGACAGCTCCACCTTGAGACTGCTCCCCGCCATCTCCTGAGGACACTCATCTTTGAGCATGTCCCTCACAGGGAACTGGAAGCTGCTAAGGAGTGTGCTGCGACTGTCCTGTCACAGGGCTGCTCTCGCTCACTTCACACACGGCCCTCTGGCTCCTGACCCAGCCGCCATCTGTGTCACCAGGTGAGAGCGAGCTGCCCTGAATGAGCCTACAGCTTGGGCTGCGCAGGTCACCCAGGCTTGGCTGACGGGGACCCACGTCGCCCGTCCTCCTGGCTGGCAGCAGAGGCCTGGTTTCCCGGGAAATCACCACCTAGGAACAGCGCACAACAGCTGCTGTTCATCAGCCACGAAGCCCTAGCGACAGCCATTCCCAGCGGTGACTTCAGAGGGACCCACATGAGGATCCGGTTGAGCAGGCCAGCGCTGGCCAATGTCTCACAAAGAGCAAAACAGGACAGAAGAGATGGCCAGGCTTCCGGAACCGCGTCCAGGGCTCTTCCAGAAGCCTCCAAGGCCGAGGGTGCGGCCTCAGTGCGTCTCCTTCCTCCTGCGTCTGAAAGAGCAGAGGGGACAGTGATGTGAGAGGCTGCAGGGTGTCCTGGGGCCACTTCCCTCCCTGGTGTGACACAGAGGCTGCAGGGCGGAGGCCAGCTCACTATGAAAGTCTCTTTATGGGCTCTGCGGAGTCCCAACACTTCACACCATCAAAGGCCCAGAGTGTCCCCCACTCCCACTCTCCTCCCGCAAAGAAACTCGTGGAAAGCCCTAGGCTGGGACTTCAAAGTCTCTAGAATTGGCACAGTCACCCCCTAAAGGAGGGCTAAATACCATGCTTCTTAACTGAGATGGAGTCAGACTTGCATGCTTTCAGTGACAATCTGGCACAAACAGAAACCCCCCACGTCTGCCATGCTTCGTGCATAAAGCAGAGAGGAAGCGCAGACACAGGCTGCTCTGTAAACTGTACCAACTCCCACATGTTCTCCCTCACTCATTCACTGAAAAAACACGTTTTAAGTGCCTCTTGCTCACCAGAGCTCAGGCCACTCTGCCGAGCAAGAGGTGGTCCTTGCAGTTGAGGGATGTGGGGACACACATGCTGACTGGGTCAGTGTGAATGGACTCCGCCCCGGGGCCTTATGGAATGGACACCTGACCTAACTGGAGCGGGAAGGGTCCAAGAAGGCTGCCTTAGAAGGTGAAATGAAAACTGAAGTTGAAAGAAAATAAGTCCTCAGTGTTCTTACCACCCAGAGTGGGACAACCCAGCAGCAGCACGTGGCCCTTCGATTTGCTGAGAAGGGCCCAGCATTGTTTCTGGGCTGTTCCCGCCGAGCAGGAAGACTGCGGATTATTCTGAAAATACACCACGCAAACTCGAACTGGGGGATGTTCTGCAAAATAACAAGCTTCCACTCTTTAAAAATGCAGTGTCACGTAAGAGGAAATAGGGTGATGTGACAACTCATGTAACGTGTGATCCTGAACCAGAACTAAAAGAGCTGTAAGGGGCATTCCTGGGACACTTAGTGACATCTGATCCTAGCCTGTAGATTAGAAAATATCGCATGAATGTTTTCTAATTTTGATAACTATAATTTGATTATGTAAGAGCATCCGTGTTCTTTGAAGACATGCTGATGTATTTAGGGGTAAAATATGTCTGAAATTCACTACCAAATAGCTCAGAAGAAAATATTTATACATGGTGCGTGTGTGTGTGCATGCATATGCATGCCAACCAACGCAAAATGCCCACAGTGATCTGGGTGAAGGAGAATTTGCACTATTTTGCAAAGTTTTCTGTAAGTCTAACATTGTATCAAAATGAAGGGTTACCCCCAAATTGGGTATTCCAAGGGTAGGTGTTGGGATCATCCTTCCAGGGAGAGGGCAGAGGCATGGGGAGGGCGGTGGATATCACATGAGCTACACGTTCAGACGAGGGACTGGTGGCCTTCCTCCTGCCACCTGTCGGGAACCACTGGAAGGTTCTCCGCTGGGGAGAGCAACAGGGCAGGATGCCATTTTGGTGACCACAGTGGCAGGTTGGGCTGGGCGGGCTTGGAGGGAACTAGACGGGCATTTGGGATGTGGGTCACAGCTCTCCCAGTGCTGCAGGCAGGGACTGCTGGTACCTGGCGCCAAGTGCGTCCCACGCCTCTTCTGCAGAGCCCTGGTGACAGGGAGTGTAAGAAAGGAAGCTGGGACGTGGACGCAGGCAGGCTTACGCCAGGAGTCTCCCCACAGCTCCACCTCAGCACGGGGATGGTTAACAGGACGAAGAAGAGCTGGATTTAAGAGTTAGGAGACGGGGGAGGGAGGGGACCTGCCACCAGGGAGTTTCTTGTGGAAATGATGTTTCCACCCGAGAGAAATGCAGGAGGAAGTGGTTGAGAACAGGGAACCGGCCAGCTCCTGTTCTGAGTTCAAGATGCCCTGGGGAAGTGGAGTGTGTGTCTGGGTGGCACTCCCTGGAGAGATCCATGTGCCACAACAGGGCGCATGGGGGACCCCTGGGGTCAGCCTGCCTGCGTCTCTGTCCCAGCTTCTTTTCCTAAAGCTGGGGTGATGAGCAGCAAGTCGTTTACTGTTCTATGCCTCAATTTCCTCATCTGTAAAAAAGTGGTATCAGGACCTCCCTCAAGTGGAGAGCTAAAAAAATGTCAGAGGGGCGGGAGGGGGTGCTTCCTACCCAGCATGCGGGCCCCTGGGCTCCACTCCCCAAGTTCCAATTTGTTTCTCATATGAGAAGTATCAAGAAAAGGGGGTTCTGTATAAGGTTGAGACTTAAGCCAGGTACAGTGGCACATGGCTGTAATCCCAGGGATTCAGGAGACTGAGGCAGGAGGATCGAAAGTTGGAGGCCAGCCTCAGTAACATAACAACACCCTAAGCAACTTGGTAAGACCCTGTCTCAAAATTTAAAAATTGAAAGGGCTGGGAATGTGACTCAGTGGTAAAGTGTCCCTGGGTTCAATCCCTAGTACAAAAGAAAAAAGGCTGACATTAAGGAGCAGCTCGCCACAGTGGCTGGCTGCTGGCATGTGTGTGCTGTCCTGCGTGGCAGGTCAGGGCCTTCCTGGGTGTGAGCAGGGCGGAGCAGCTGGGGTGGGGCCATCAGGTGGGGCCCAGAGCCTCCTGGGGAGCAGCTTGCAGAATGTTTGTGGGAGAGCCAGCGGGGCTGTTGAGATGGTTGTTCTGGGCCCCAGCCACGAGCCATAGCCAGACTCTGGGGACGGCACCCCAAACTTGGCACATGAGCCAGCCCAACCCTTTTCCCCTCCCAAGGTTATGGCAACTCAGCTTGCAAACGCTGAATAAGAAAAAGAACTCACCGTTGAAGCAATGCATTTGGGGGGCAGAGACTTTATGGAGATTATTTTCATCTTTCATCTCAAGCCATGATTTAGGCCCTTCCAAGGGTCTCACATATGCTAGACAAGCACTCTACCACTCCAGCCCTATTTATTTTTTGAGACAGGTTCTTGCTAAGTTGCTAAGGTTGGTCTCTAACTTGTGATCCTCCTGCCTCAGCCTCCTAAGTTACTGGAATAACAGCATCAGCCACCACATCCAGCTCTGAATCCTTTTTTTTTTTTTGGTGATGCTGGGGATGGAACCCAGAGCCTCACACATGCTAGACAAACACACTCCATCACTGATATACACCCCAGCCCTAAAAGATGATTTTGACAAAGGAAGTGATAACTCTCTTCAAATATATAGAGCTGTCCTAAGGGAGAGGAAACCTTTTTCTAAGCTCTGTAGAGCACAACTAGGACTTAACAAGGAAGTTGATTTGGGTATAAGATGAATTAATGGTTAAATTGTTCAAAGATGGGAAGGCCAGGTGATGTCCACACAGGGTGTTACACTATCCGGTCCTGCATTGGGCAGAGCTGGACTAGATGACGTTTAAGATTCTTTCACATAGACAGGTAATGTGCTGACTTTGTTACAAAGTTAAAGAAAGGCACATCTCACACAACAGTGTGAACATCCAATCATCATGCTTTTGAACGGAAAAGGATCTAATATTCTATGAGGCTCCATTGAGTAGGGGGAAAATGAAGGAGGACCAAGCCTTTCAAATACAGGTTCACAGACGTGTGTGTGTGTGTGTGTGTGTGTGAGTGTGCGGGCGGCGGGGGGGGGGGGGGGGTCTGGTGATAAAGGTTTTTAGCAGGCTGATGAATGAACACTGCATAGTAAGGAGATAAACATTCCTTCTAGTGAAAATTAGAAAGGTGTTGGGGGCGGGGGTGTCAGGCATTGATATCAGCTTTTTTTTTTTTTTTTCACGCAGTATCTTTAGCCAGGCACGGTGATGCAGCTCAGTGGTGAAACACCCTTGGGTTCAATCCCCAGTACCAAAATCAATAAAAAAAAGTGAACACTTGACAAATAGCAAGCAATTCATAAATATTCATTGGATTAACAAGCCACTCCAGTTACTACTGTCCCCATGTTACAGCAACAGGCTGAGATTCATTGTGACTTGCCTAGACTTACCCAGGCAGTACGTGGGTGAGTCTTGATTCAAACAAGCACTAACCCCAGTAGTTATTAACCACCATCTGACACTAACGTCCAGTATGTGAAAACGTGATCTGTTCATCCGGGACCAGCATGTGTGTATACAGGCATGGATGTGGAGGAAGGGGGTGGTCAGTGTTGTCTGCCCTAAGATTCTCCCCAGAGCACATTCTAAGTGTGGCTGACCAGCTCTGAAGGTGACCCAAGGGGACAGGGTCTCTTAATGCATTCATCTTTCTACTGATGCAAACCATTCAAATGACTTAAAAATCCAAGATCATGTCACTGACATCTCAGCAAAGCAGGATTTTGCGCTGCACTGTGATGTGTGCTCTGGGGTAGGCTGACACACAGGCCTGCAGGCGGGTGGGCGTGGCCGGCTGGATGAGGCAGTTAGTTTTAGGAGCCAGCCCATCCTAACAGTCTTTCTTCTTTCTGGAATTCTCCCACTTTCTGGCAAACACCAAAGGACAATCCTGGGAATGGCTTAAGTCACAGCTAACCACTGTGCTGTGCCACCTGTGGGCAGTAGATGGCAGCAGAACACACCCGTGAAGCCAGCCATCAAGAGAGCCTGGACGCTAGTTAAGATTCGTGGATCCCGTGGAGAATTCCTGCAGAGGAGAGATACTACTGATTCAAAATTATGAAACCAAACACTGTGACACAAATAACTAATTATTCCCTTATAAGAAATGTAGCGATACGTTTTTAAATATATTTAAGATATAGCTTGTCTTCCGACTCCAAACAGTACTTGAAGGGGACTTGAACTTCTACCAGCAGTTTTGTTTGCTCTCTCTCCTCCAGGGGTTCTTGCTATGGCCAGTGGGCAGATCTGTGCACCTGTCAGAGGTTACTTAGTTGTTTCCGCTTGGTATCATTTGGTAAGCTTGGCATTATGCGTTCAAGGAAAAAATATTTGAGATCACATTTCGCTCACAATTTAGGGACTAACTTTTCATTTTGAAGCTACAGCTGTTATCTCCTATTGTTTTGCTTCCTTTTTTATAGTCAGGCATGGCTGAGGCAGAGAATTTCAAGTTCAAGGTCAGCCTCAGCAACTAACTTCCGCTTAGAGAACTCACAACGGAACTGCACACAAACCACTCCTGCGCATTCTGTTGCCAGTTTTCTTAGTTCTTATCTTGGGAGATGCCTCTTGGCCAAGCTGCAATACACAACCAAAATGCCATTCCAGGCTCATTTTGGCACAGAATCCCCCAGGTGCACTGGTGAGTCTGGAAATTCCAACTTCAGTTTGTACATCTGGGAATCCCAGTGTGGGGACTCAACTCCTATCTTCCTCCTGGTTTTCAGTGAATGGTGATTGGGAGGAGGTCTGGAAAAAACTCTCCATGTTAGGAGGGAGGCAGCCTAACCACGTGAAGGCTCCGGACAAGACAAACCTGCGTTCGAATCTCAGTTCTGCCACTTAATAACTGAGGTTTTCCTTGTTGTTGTTTTGGGTATTTTCTGCATTTTTCTTTTTTATGCAAACTTCCTTGTTTGCAAAGTGAGGATGTACCCATTTCACTGTGTGGCTGTGATGATTTTAGAATTCACATTTATTGAACAGCAACCAGGTACTGTTTTAAGACCATCTGGTGACTTGAACAATTCTTGTCCTAAAGCTCACATTTCACAATGCAAGGACAGGGAGGCAAGGGGATGAGGGCAACAAAGCTGGCTGTGTGACTCCCACGCTCAGATGGTGCCTCCATGGGGAGCCTTGGCTGGGGAGGCAGGCAGCCAGGGAAGCCTGGCTGAGCCCAGGCAGAGGGGATGACAGCCAAGGGAGCTGCTGGATGCTGAGTGTGGTGCTAGTGGATGAGGGGTGGGTACAGGTCGGGGCAAGGAAGGGAAAGACCAGAGCCTACAGAGGGTGGAAGCCCAGGAAGGTTTTTCAGCCAGGCAGGCTCAGGCTCCTGTGGGCGTAAGACCAGGGACAGGGGTGCAGCAGTGAGCTCGGCCTCGCACCACTCAGCTCAGAGCAGAGGGATGGCCTGCGCCTCCTACAAAAAACAAGACAGGAATCTGCAGGAAAAACTACCTCCAAGGTTTTTTTTTGGGGGGGTGGGGTGGGCTACCAGGGATTGAACTCAGGAGCACTCACCCACCGAGCCACATCCCCAGCCCTATTTTATATTTTATTTAGAGACAGGGTCTCACTGAGTTGCTTAGTGCCTTGTTTTCTGAGGCTGGCTTTGAGCTCATGATCCTCTTGCCTCAGCCTCCCCACCTCTGAGATTATAGGTGCGCTCCACCACATCGGCTCCTCCAAGGGTTTTCTACTAATAATCTACCTTGCCTTTCTTGAAATGTGTAAAGTGACAATACATCCAAGTTTTTAAAAGTGGCTCATTTTCTTTTTGGGCTACAGGAAAACTGCCCATAACCATTGTGATTATTATATTCATTGTCAGAGGCTCAGATAAATTTAACATTCTCATTTATTGCTTCCAATATAAAATATAAGCACATTACAAACATTTTGAAAAGGAAAGATTCACCACGCTAGCACAAAAATTGCTTTAGCATTTTGGTATATTTCTTTAATTAGGCTTCGGATTAATCCGAAATACTGTTTCAAGCACTGTAGAGAAGACAGAAAAAGGCTGCTTCTTACTGTCCTAATTTTTTTTCATTCTTCAAAGCATTTTTTTCTTTCCAGCAGAAGACCCAAAACATTACAGAGTTACAAAGACTGATTCTCCAATTTGCACAGCCTCTAATCAAAAGTTACTTTTTCTGCGAAGAACACAGTTCTACTGCTCAGAACAATTCTTGAAGGAAATCTAGGTACTATTGCCTTTCTGAGTTATCTATTATCTATGCAGAGAACTCGATCACAGCCCCTGCTCTGCGTGCTCAGAATGTTTAACTGGTCAGAATATAAAGTGGA